ATATCAGATATACTATCAGTATTAATATTACGTCCAATCAGGTGACAGGACGTGAAAATACATAGTTTCACGTCGGACGTGAAAATAGCCACTACGTATTATTAATTAATAATAATAATTAAGGATTTAGTTATAGAGTTAAATTAATAATTATTAATAATTAATAATCATTTTTAATTAAAAATTTACCAACCTCTGCAAGGACTTTCCCGTTTTTATCTGTCATAATTTTTTTACGTATTATGTCTGATTCTTTAAAGTGTAGCTCACAAACCACTTGTTTCGGTTTGATTACAAATTCCTTCCTAGGTATAGCTTTTGTCCATTGAGCAAGTCTGATCGTATCCTTAGGGACGGTAAAAAAGTGGCGTTTTTGTAAGCAAGAATCATATCCCGAAGTGCACGCCGGAACAATGCATCGATGCCCGGGCATGTTAAAAAACTAAATACTAGTGACTAGTCTATAATCTAAATACTTTACTATTATGTCAATATCAATAATATAATTATATTCCAACACTTGAATAAGTCAATAAACAATAATGTGCATACTACATAACATAGTCGTCGTAAACTAATTATAGTATACACTAGTATACATCCAGCGTTACTAAGGCGAACGCACAACTAGCGCTTCGACGGCCAATCACACTGATAGGCGACACTAAAGAATTATTATTTAACACAAGCGATATAGGGAAGTGCATCGGCGTGGTCAAAACTTTAGAAGTTTATTTATATCATTATAACTATTCTAATATAATATTACAATTTATATTTTGAAATATTGTACGCTGTGTACCTACATTAAATAAATAGCTTAAACTTATATAGGTACACATTTATTATCGATATATTATCAGCGCATCAACACCGTAGACATTAAAAACTAAAAGGTGAGATTCACAAGTCACGAGAACATAATTATCGTAATGTTATTGAAGCACTGTCTATCAATCGATTGATTTTACTACAACATTTACGATACACTAATTTTTAACAGTATAAAAAAAACATTTGCCACTTTGCCGCATACCTATCGTTTTGTGAACTGTAATTTTGCAATGATTTTTATTCGATTTGTATGTATTATTTTTAATGTATTATTATTATCATATTGATTATATTATATAGACATCTGTGATATTCATAATAATAATAATTGTCCCAGTGGATGTGTTTTATTCGCAGGTTTACCGGTAGATTACGCTTCAGTGTTTTGGCCCTAATTTTCATACTATACACTCTACTCACGAACAGTTCGTGCTTCTACTTATAAAAGTCTTAGATCATATTATACAATATAGCTTGCATTTTGCAATTCAGATTTCATGCAGTTAGCTAACAAAAAGTCTCATCAAAAACAAAATGGCACATGAATAAATGTATTGATATATTAAAAATACGACGTTATGGTCGATAAAATATAAATATTAATAAATTAAAGTAAAATTACAACATTACTAAATGACAATGGACAATGCTACTATAGTTAGATCAGTTAAAAAAAATTGTTGGATTACGATGTTTGAAGTTATTATGTTTAACATTCAAATTTTTTCTTTAAATAAATATTTTTTAATTTTTGATAGACAGTTGAATTCAGAGTAAATTTAAAATTGTGAAATTATGTATAATGATGTAATATCTAAATATATTTTCATTTTAGGAGCAAGAAATAAACTATTATTGTACCTAGCGGCTACCACTACCTTTTTTTTTTTTTTTTTAACTTTATTTTAAAACATACAATCTGTAATTTAAATTTACAATAAGCATGTATGCGGATATACATTAACTAATTTGACATGCGACGCGTGAAAAAAGAAGCCACCCAATAGCAACACTTTATAACTGAAGTTAGTTTGATTTATAGTTTATTT